TAGCAGCGCGGCGGGCGATGATTGGTGCGTTGCCGAGCCCGCCCCGCCCCGCCGCCGGCGCGCTCTGCGGCTCTGGCTTGTGTTTCTTTCTCCTCCAAAAAGTGTGTTTTTCGTAAGAAAAACGTGACCGCGGCACCCCGTTTCGTAGCAGTGTTGCTGGGGACAGAAGGTAGTTTTGTCTTGCGGCGTTTCTTTTAGCTGAGAGGTAAAATGAACTTCCAGCAAGACAATAATCCCCGAGTTTGGGGATTGCAGGCAGAGCTGGGCGGTGAGATTTTTATTTTTCCTTTTTAATTAAAAACTTGCTGCTGGCAGCACCGTCACAGTGACAGCGGATTCATGTTCCTGAGACAGTTTTTCTTCAAGGTAGTGCAAAACGGAGGTAATGCCGAGACATCTTCTCAGCGTAAATGAGCTTTGAAGAGAGGCAAGTAACACAAAGTCTCCACTCAGCTCTGTGTCTGGGTTATGATTTGTTTCCCGTAATACGGCTTCATCTCTTCAAAATAATGAAACCTTTGGACGTAGCGCCGCGTTTAGCTCTACTCGGAGCTAATAAAAAGTAAAGGAAAGAGGGTTTTCACTAGAAACGTTAATGTGAAAAACATCTCTTAAATAGGCAGGTACCTCCAACATCTCGAAAGAACATAAAGAAGTTCTTTCAGTTTCCCTCAGTTTTTCTGCCACCTTGTATTAATACTTTGATGAACTATAGTCCCACTTTTTTTCTCCAAAATACTTCTTTTGATTAAGCCCAATAGGTAAATACATTCATGTGTATGTCTTTATTTTAAGATAGGGTTTATTTTTGGGCTTACTTTTACACTGTACTTCAGGCATTTTGTCAGAGACATTCAGCAGTTATGCAAAAAAAATAATAATTTTGTGTACGTTTTTTCTTTATGAAAAACAGAAGTCAGGCTGCAGGCATCTCTTTAATAAAATTATATAAATGAAATGTATTTAATTTATATTTAAATAAACAATATTTCTTTAATAATATGTTATAAATCAAGTGGCTTAATCAAAGAATTATATCCTCAGAACTGCCGAGATAAATTCAGGCATGGCTTTTTCCAACCCGTGAGTTTTGTGATGTGGCATGAACTGAGTACACATAAAATGATCAACTCGGGATGAGTTGGAATGAGGAGTGTCATGATCAAAAATATGTAGTACAGCATGGGAAGGAATAGGAGACCCTGCTGATTATTTCATATGATTGAAAATGCTGTCATTTAGCCTCTTTCATTTTTTCTTTTGATAATATAATATTACATACCATCTTGTCGAGTTTTGTCTGGAGGGGGTCAGTTTTAAGAGCTTGTTGGCGGTGCAGGTTTACCATGACTAAGGTGCACCTCAAGTGTGAGAAACTGCCAAGAGATGCAGTAGCATTTCAGAGGGGCTTTTGTTTAGAGAAGACAAACAGCAGAACAACATCACATGCAAGAGTATAAAAACAGACTAACATGTGGTTTTGGAGCCAACATCTGTACTGATGCTATATTTTACAGTAGTCTCATCTGCTGACCACGCTGTGGATTGTGGGTTGTGAACTATGTTCTCACAGGAGTTGATCTGTTGGGAAGGACCACTGAGGAGAAATTTCTGGGGGTTAGTTCTGTAGGATACATGTTTCCATCAAATCTTGTATCTTACTGCCTTCTATTGGCTCCTATCAGAGTCAGTCTATTGGTAGCTTTACCTCTAAATAATTTTGGTCCTCTGCATATGCATTTTGCTAGGTTTAGGCTAGGCCTCTATCCTTCTTCCAAACACCCGCTGTAGCAGCACAATCCTGGAGCAGTCTATATGCTCTTCTAAAAGCTCCTTTTTCTGGTGCTCCAGTATTTTGACCACATATCTGGACTTTTTTTTTTTTTACAGTCATAGACAGTTAGTTTTAGTCTCAGCAAAGGAGAAAATGCAAAGAGATCTTGCAAATGTTGTCAGGTGGAGGAGAGGAAGAAAAAATAAGTTTGCAAGTGCCCTTTGGTTCCTTTAATTTAACAGGCAGCCTTCTTTAAAAAAAAAAATATTACTTACTTCAAATATTATCTTAACCTTTATTTTCCGATAGGAAGCTTTATAAAATAATGTATTCAGCAAAAGACAGACTTACTTCCACCTCCTATTTTTCCCTGAAAATAATAGCCAAATAAACAAAATATTTATTAAAATGAAAAAGATTTTTGGAAAGGCAGAAACTAGTGCTCACAGTGGACTGTGATATTTGGATGTGAGAGAAATTTCTCAGAACTTCAGGCAGAAATATGAGGACTCACTTTTCTCCTACTCTGGTGATGGATAAATACTTTCATGAAGGTCCTTTTGAGCCTAAGTGACTGTAGAATCATGGAACGATTTGGGTCGGAAGAGACATACAGAGATCACCTAGTCCAGCCTCGCTGCCATGGGCAGGGACATCTTCCACTAGGTCAGGTTGCTCAAAGCCCCATCCAACCTGACCTTGAACACTTCTGATGATGGAGCATCCACAGCTTATCATGGCAACCTGTTCCTGTATCCCACCACCCTCATTGTAAAAAATTTCTTCCATATGTCCCATCTAAACCTACCCCTCTTTTAGTTTAAACTGTTGCCTCTTATCCTGTCACTACAGGCCCTGATGAAATATCTCCAGTTTTCTTATAAGCCCTTTACATATTGAAAGGCCACAATAGGATCTCACCACACCATTCTCTTCTCCATGGTGAACAATTCCAATTCTTTGTCTTTCTTCATAGGAGAGGTGTCCCAGACCTCTGATCATTTTCATGGTCCTCCTATGGACCCGCTGTAACAGGTCCGTGTCTTCCTTGTGCTGGGGACCCCAAATCTGGCTGCAGTACTCCAGGTGGGGATCTCATGAGAGCCGGGCAGAGGGAGAGAATCAACTCCCTTGATCTGCTAGCCATGCTTCTTTTGATGCACCCTGGGATATGGTTGGCTTTCTGGGCTGCAAGTGCACATTGCCAGCTCATATCTGATTTTTCATTCACCAGTATCTCTAAGTCCTTCTTTGCAGGACTTCTCTTAATTCATTCATCCCCCAGTCTGTACTGATATTACAGATGGCGCCAACACAGGTGCAGGACCTTGCGCTTGGCCTTGTTGAACTTCACTCCTCAAGCCTGTCAAGGTCCCTCTGGATAGAATCCCTTCCCTGTAGCGTATCAACTGCACCACTCAGCTTGGTGCCATCTGCAAATTGCTGAGGGTGCACTCAGTCTCACTGTCTATATCATTAATGAAGTTATTAAACAATATTCATCCCAGTACGGACCCTTGACAGACACCACTTGTTACGAGTTTCTACTAGGACATTGAACCGCTGGCTGTAACTCTTTGGATGCAGCCATCCAGCCAATTCCTTATCCACCTAATAGTCCATCCATCAAAACCATACCTCCCCTCAGTCACCTCCCTGTCTTCCATTTGCTTCAACGTAGCCTCCAGGAGGATGTGTTCCATGATCTTACCAGGCACCAAGGTAAGGCTGACTGGTTAGCAGTTCCCAGGACACTCCTTTTTATCCTTTTTTTTTTAAAAAAAAAGGGTGTGATATTCCCTTTTCTCTAGTCACAGGGGATTTCCCATATCTGCTGTGTCTTTTCAAATATGACAGAGTATGGCTTAGCAACTACATCTGCCAGTTCCCTTGGGACCCTGGGATGCATCTTGCCGAGTCCCATGGACTTGTGTATGTTCATGTTCCTCAGATGGTCTCAAATATGATCTTCTCCTATGAAGGGAGGGACTTTCTTCCCCCAGTCCCTGCCATGAGGTTCAAGGACTTGAGAGACATGGATAGAGAGATTGCCCATGAAAACTAAGGCAAAAAATTTGTTGAGTACCTGAGCCTTCTCCATGCTGGCTGTCACTAGTTCTCGTATCTTATTTATTAGGGGGTTCACTTTCTTTAGTCTTCCCTTTCTGATAAACATACCTGCAGAAGCCCTTATTATTATTCTTCACATCCCTTGCCGAATTTAGCTCCGGAGTAACAAGAACTGTGTTTTCGTGGGCTTTTGTCGGGTCTATGTTAGGCCTTTAGTAGATCTTTGTCAGGGTTTTGTCAGGGTGGGTGCATCTGCCACACAATCCACCCCGTGACCACAGTCAAAATTCGCCTGGTTTCCTTGGAGTGGTGGTACAGTTACCTCTTGCCTTCAAAGTTAGAAGACAGCACAGTTTTGCTGAGTCTTGATGACCACTGTGGATCATAATTTCTCAGTTGTTTTATGGTTATACTGGGATATCAATTACACAAACAGGTTCTGAGGGAGTATATTTCACAACCGACATGGATCTTATTATCACGTGCTTAATACAACTTACCATAATAAAAATTACAACCATCATAGCCACAATCATTATGAAAGATTGAAGGAGGCTGGTAAGCCACTCAGAAAGGGAAAATCCAAACATGTCAAAAACTTTCCCCAACCAGTTTATTCCTAGTGCAACAACGATGGCTTCTGAGTCTCTGGCTACTTTCTTCATCTTGTTGATTTGGTCTTGAAGCAGCGTTGGTACGTTTGGGATGCAGACTCAGCACTCATCTGCAGATTCAGAACTCCACATATGCCTTTCTGCTTTAACAGCATCAAGTCTAATACGGCTTGGGTTTGAATGGTCATCTTACTAGTATGTTGTAATTGATCATCTAAAAGCTCCAG